CGTATCGCACCCGCAGCCAGAGATACCTCAAGCTACTGATTTGTAAGACAAATAGGTTCAAAAACACATTTATCATGGCGAACAGTTTTAATTATTAGTAGTTATCTTAATTATTTGTATTTTGGTTTTTGATACTTCTCTTATTGTATTTTATTGTAGATTACACTTTGCGGCTTTCATTGTAGTTATCTCAGAGTAAGAGATAATTTATTCCTATCGTAAAGTAAGCCGGCCCAGGGGCTGCAATGATTTTACTTCCTAATAAAGCTATCTATCTATCTGATTGCCCAATGTAATTAAGCTGATAAGTCTATGAACTAGCCTCATTCTAAACCAATCAGAAGCATTTAGGCTATTTCCGAATTTCTTTTAGACTCTTTATCAATTGCAAAACGAGGCCTGGTGCTCAACCATTCGTATAAAACTGAGTTTAATTTGCATCTGAATGAAAACTATTGAACACCTGAAAGAATGAACACCAGGAATAGCTTTGATAAAGAGACCAAAGCTAATTTGGAAATGGGCTATTTAAACTGGACTCGGATGTGTTTGGTTTCCTCCGCGTTCGTGACCGAACAAACAACATTGTCCTTCATTATGGCAGTAAAGATTTTAGCATTAACGTACCCTTCCACGTCCACAACACTTGTAACAGCGCTTGTATCCCACAGCCATGCAATCATGACACGGCTGGGAATGAAAGTGAAATGAAATAACACGAGTGCAAAATCAGAGTAAAACCAAACTCATCTAATGACAAAATGGCCATGCTGAATAAACTCACATTTGTAAACCCCTCCTATATTTGACCCTGGGGGCATGTTGGCCTAAAGAGTTAAATTCATAAGAGATGGGACTTCAAGTTCTGCAGTCAAGCATCGGTATTGGCTCCCTATTTATTGCAATTCCATAGTAACAGCCGACCCAACGACATATCGATTACATTTCGAATCGCTTCGCATTTATCGCTACAAAACATATTCTCGGCTTAACTTACTGTTTATTGGAGTCCTGTAAATCAATTTGAAATAAAATTTGAAAAGCTGCACAAGAAATCAAACAGAAAAGGACAGCCTGAGGCGAACAAATTCGAATTTCAAGACCACGCGGTTGATGGTGACGATTTCGCAATGGCATTACTAGACTTCTTTCTTCGATTCTCCACTCTCATTTTCTAGCAACTGGTCCAAAACGCTTTCTTATCCCCTTTCCATCCCAATACTCGGCCTGAATGGGGATGCAGGCCAAGGAAAAAAGTGAACGTCCAAACGCAAAACAATGTAACATCAAGCGCCTCGTTCAGAGACCATGATCTTAAAATTGGTGATTTTTTTGGCTGATTTTACATGCCGATGCTTTATTAGTGCTTTTTTGAATTACAGCCTGTTTGATGGTGATTTTTTTTAAACAAGTAATAGTCGACCCTATGCTATGCCAATGTTTAACTAAACTTTTCGGCAAATGAACTCTGGTACAACTGATCAGTCAGTAACTCAAGTGGCAAATTTTATTTTTCCTTAACAAACTTGCTGTCAGAACTAAAGTTTCTGTATTTTCTCCTCATGATCACGCGTCTATTACAGTCAGCGGTACATCGCTCGATAAGTTATTTACTCCGGTAACGCAAGTAATCCTAACAGTAAATATTTGCCATCTTGGTTAATTACAATAAAAATTATTCAACAGTCAAAACAAGTTTTGGTGACGGTCTTACGGTTGAGTGCTATATTGATAGGTTATAATTAAATCAAAGGATGATATTTCCATACTTGCTCAGCTAGTTTAAGTTGTACGGCGTCTCAATTCCATTTTGACAAAATGAAGTTTACCTTCATTAATACACCAATTAAAAGGAAGAAATTGATCACAAGAAGATGAAATAAATCATGTTTTGACCAGTTTATAATAAGTAGTTAACGAAATAATGCTCGTAGGAGGAACAGAAATTCAAGAAATTGTAGAAAAAGAGGCCTGAAAAAGATTTAGGCGCGACGGGATTCAAACTTTTGCCATATTGATTTTCCACCTGCGGCGGTAAACGTTGGCTCAGGTATTGTGGTATAGGCATAAAACTAGAATCTAATTTAGCGAGAAGGCTTGATTTGGATTCCTTTTCGGCAACGTTACACGTAAATTAACCTTAGTTTCTTATTTATGAATTCCCAGTTTTCTGATGAAATATCGTCACTGCGTTGGTTGACTTATCTTCAAATTCCTCTTTTTTTAAAAAAAAAAAGGAATGATATATACCCATTACTCTTACTTCATCATAGTCCTTAATGCAAAACATTTGAAGGGAAGTACTCAAGATTGTCTCCATGAGTGAATGCTGACGTGAGTTGATTGTTATTAGCCAATCAGAGGCGGTTCTGCATGAAATAAGGTAATGCGAATGTTACGCGGTCAGTTAGGTATACCTCGGCTGTTCATATTGACGTGGAATCTCAGCGCTTCGTGATCTTTAGCTTTTTTCCTGTGAGAAATGCATGTTACTGTTCGAATAACATCTAGTTGTGAATGCACTGGAGTTTGCCTCTTTTGCCGTGAGGTTATTTCTTTTGCCGCGAAGTTATTTCTTTTGACATGGGGTTTTTCTTTTGCCGCGTGTCTTTTTCTTTTTGCCATGAGGTTTTTTCTTTTGCCGCGAGGTTATTTCTTTTGCCGCTACGTTATTTCTTTTGCCGCGAGGTTATTTCTTTTGTCGTGACAGTTGTGGGCCACCGTGTGTTGTCTTTGCAAAACGAGTGGCGATTTTTGCTGTGAGGATCATTTCTTCACTTGCAAGAAAACATTGTTTACCAGTGCGAAAAGAAAATCTGTCCTCCCATCTTCAATTTCGAGCTTTTTATTGAGACGGGAAACAAAAGGTGCAAGAGCAAACCAGCTAAGATCAAGAGCTAGTTAGCAAAATAATGAAAATGAAAAGCTGGCGATATTAGATAGAATGAAGTTTTTAAAATGCTAAGCAGGAACAAACATGAACTTCAAATAAGTTCCTGACACTGTTTCGAAGAAATATGATAATCCTGGGAAACAATAAAAACGACCAGCAATTGTTTCATGCTCTCCTTCAGTAGCATTTTCAAATTGTATTTTGGTTTCAAATCAACTGCCAAGGGTATATCTTATGGATGTCAATCACTAGCTCTTGTTTTCCTTATCAAATCGAGCGTGTTGTTTTGCATGATTATTGCGGACTGAACTTTGAACCGTTAAGCCATGTACTTTTGTACTTTATGTACCCACGTAATCAGTAGTTAGCATAATTCGCTCGCAACGAAAGTAATGGGGCCTTTGGTTACAATGGTATCAGAAGTTATTTAGCGATTTAACTATCGTCGACCATGTAAGCGGTAGATATCAGAATTCTCATGCAGCAAATTATTTGTGATTTATGAAAACGATGTAACGGAAGGTTGACTCATTAAATAAAAGAAACTTTGTAAGCGGTATTCATCGTAATTATCGACAGCAGTGATCTTGTGACTGTTGAAAATGGAGAACAGAATTATGAGTCGTTCAAGTGGCAGGGAATCAGAGATCAAAATGCTGACCTACTCTTCCTTTTTCAAACCATTGTTATAGACACGTGATTACCTCATATCAAATTTTTCTAAAGCAAAATGTTAATTATAAGGTTTCTTATCAGAGAACAGAAAAACTAGAAACTACCACCCTCCATCGAAATTTGTGTGGTAATTGAGGGCCTTGAACTTTCTGTTTCATATGTGAAGGAGATGACGACATGGTGGTGTAATATCAACCTGTCTGCTACTGGGACTACAGGAGGCAAATCCACAGTCAAAAATGCAACAATGTTACAATTTTAAGATATCCATGCCTCTTAAATATTGCTAGTAGTGTTAATTTCTGTGGCCGTGTGAGCAGTCATTAACATAATTCTCCTGCAACAGAGGTATCTGCCATCATTCAACCACGAAAGTTCGGACATCCGGCCTTAAGAAATTACTACACGTGTACGAACTACGAGTCGCTATTTTACGTTCCCTTTACTATATAATTTTTCCATTGCTCAAGGTCCCGAAAAGTTAGAAAAACTCCAAAAGTTCCAGGTTCATAATGTCCATTCAAAAGAATAAATGTGGCACAACCCAAACGGCGGCGACGGGTTGAAGTTGTTTGCGGTCTTCAGGGAAAATGGATTCGGAATTAGCATAGCATGAAATATTAAATTGTCCGCATCATTGGTTTGATCCTTTTCGAAGTTTGGATCCACTGGCAAAACCATTCTTTCGACGGAGGAGGCGATTCTGCCAGCGAAGTATTCAAATATCCGCTTACTGAGACTCCACATTCCTGCAAATATTTTTTTAAGTTGTGCCATATTCATGGCTTTAAAGTCGCTTTTATTCTTCTAAGACATTTTGAACCTGGAACTTTTCGAGTTTTTCGCGGTTTGTTTAGGTAAAAACTCACTTGACACTACACGTGAAACTTGATCTAACGCCTAAAAAGTGAATTGAATAAGTTATGTTCAGCGCCATAGCTCTCTAAATCGAATCTACTTGTGACCAAAATGCTGACCCCTCCATTTTCCAAATGGTGCGAACGCGAACGCACTTTAGCAAAAATATTCTCGATACTTTTTTATTTACTGTTTAACAATCAAGAGCTTCTTTAGTTGGTAATTATTTGCTTTATTTTCGGTGACCTTGATAGTTGAATCAAGGGGAGACATCGTAAGGAGAAATGACATGCTGGTCACAGTCAGGGGTTAAACAGCTGAGAGATACTTAAGTAGAAAAGTGAACTGTTAGGCTATTTATTAGAAAACAGAGCAACTGAATACTGGTGCCTTAACAGCATCGACAGACGCCTGTTAATCGAGCCGCCAAGAGTGCTGAACTTTAAGTTTCATTTGTGAGGGAGATCACATCACGCTGGCGTGATATCTACCAAAGTGTCTGTTGCCTGTTGACTTTGCTTCCCACGCCTGCATGCTTTTTTGACAGGCATTCAATTTCGATTCTTTTTTCAGATAGTCAAGTACGCCCCTTTTAGGTAAGCTACTTGAGGAACGTTTCCTGTCAATGTATCATTTGCTTCTGATCCAACTGGTTGACGTGAAGGGAACAGTCCGGTAAGAATGACGCCTTTAAATTCTCTTAGCTTTTTGTCCTACTTTCTGAACATCTTGGTAGAGTAACACCTTTCCCCGTCCCCCCTTAACAGTCGGAGCTTTCTCCGTTTCGAATTATCAGTACTACATTCGATCATATTCGGCTGATTTACGGGCTTCAACGAGGCTAATTAGCAGGGATACGGGGAATTCAGTTATGGAGGGCTCTTTATGATAGCTTGCAATCTCTTCATCTTGTTTTTAATTTTTTATACTTTCGCTATTGTTTTCTTAAAGCAAATCCTGCCTCTAGTTAGCTAAAGAACGCCTGTAAACGTTCAGGCTCGAACAAAGAAATAGACACTGCTCGTAGAGATGAGTTTCAGTAAATTTTTGTTAACCCGACAATCCCGATCGATACATGACGAAGCAATCCATCTTCGCTGCAAGCAAAAATTAATTGCAGATTTCAGACAATTTAATCGTCACAGAAAATGGAATATAACGCTAGAGCTAAGATTCTATATTGGGACCCAAACTACGCATGTATTCTAATTAGAGTTTATCTCGAGTTTCAGACCGGCGGAGGAATTTGAATTTTGACTGTAATTGTCATCAGGAGACAGAAGTTTGGTTGAAAAGAAATGAGCTAGACTTCGTTCTTTTCCTACTTAGTATTTTCATTATCATAAGTATTTCGAAACATATTCCTACCATAGAAGAACTTCGCCAAGAGAAATTAAAAGGAAACTTGAACCTCTACAGTTGAAAGCGTTTATTTACAGTACAGTACTCGTCGACAAATATCTGAAATATCAGTATTCGATCCTGCTAGGTGGCATGGCTCGGTCTTAATTGTGTGTATAGGGGGCTAGTTTCTAAAGACATCATGAGTCTGTGTCGTTGGGGTTTTGCTTTTGATAATTACTAATTGTCAACTGTTTCATAACGCGAATTGCACACCGTAAAAGAGATTCAAAAGCTGTTGTTTGTAGGTAAGCTCACGATTTCGAATGCAATTTGGGATACATTTTTCAAAGGCTAACCAAATTGCACGAACCCGTAGGACGAGTGAAATTTGAGGTATTTAAAAAAAAATACAAGGAATGATTTATCCTAAATAGCGAGTCAAAATCATGTCATAACTAGTTGATAACATACAAGCAAAAGCGTGACTCTGTTTTCCTCTTTGGCTGTTTTTATTTCGTGTCATGGCTAAGTAATCATGTCGGCTCCTTGCCTTTGCCTTGTTGTCGGAGTAGTTGGGCTTTTCCCTCAAGAACTTGCTTCAAGCTTTTAAACGCTCTGTCACGTATAATCGAGGGTTTATAATCTTTCTCCGGTATCGGCAAGAGTTTATCAGTTTATAATCTCTTGGCATCTCTCGACAACATTAACTTTCCTCGCTTTCTTACGAACAAAATGAACTGACGCGTGAAACTCCTCGAGAATTTTATTCAGGGAATCCAGATCATACATTCGTGGCCGTTTTATGAAGACAAAGACTGCTAGACTTTTAGCGATTGTTTTTCCTTTGTTTGCTGTCTTTGTTTTCGGCATTCTCTCTCAAACTCTCGTGTATTAAAACGTTGAAACTTTATTTCAACCTTCTCCTCACTCTCGTGACTCTCTGTCAATCAAGTTAATTTCAACTTTCTGCAGTCAACTTCAAATATTTGCACTCCGAATTTCAACTTTATGCACTGCTTGGGATTAATTGAAGTTTTCTCGGTCAATGAGCAAGCTGAAATTTTTGCACATACATCATTACAAGGTTCACACCATGTCAGACTGAATCGGTTCACGAATCACAGTCTTGATAGTAAAAAGGAAGGTACAAGCTCAAATATCGCCGCTGAGAAAGTCAACATTCAACAGATAATATTTCTTATGCTGCTTCGTTTTTTGCAAACTATGATCGTGTGGGGTGTCATCCAAATATTTGTTTGATAAGCTCACTTCTTTGTCCTGCACTACAGAGTGATTGACATTTGCTCCTTCGTCGATATTGGAGTTTTCCTGTTGATTGCAATTAATGAAATGAAACCAAGTCTACTGTTCTGGAGTTTTGTTTTAGATATCTTCGTGAAATTTCATTCTGGAGATGGAGTGACTGCGAATCTATTTTAGTTTGTCCCCCCTTTTTATCATATTTAATAATTCCAGTTTCCAGCTGGGGCATATGGGGTCATGCGACATATGAGACGGATCACGTTCCGGTGAAAAGGAATGATGTGTTTGAGTAGAGTGATATTTCCTGTGGTAAAGTCAATCTTGGGAGTTAAAAGATGTATAAAAAAAATCCTTCAGGATTATCAATATTTTATCAATTCAGCACAGATTATTATTGAATAAACCAAAACCTACCCCCCACCCTCCCTCCATCAGTTCCAACGGATCCCGTGTGGTTTGATGCTTTTGGAAACCTTGATATCTTTACCCTTTTGTCTAGGAGCAAGAAGCAATATATAGTAAAATAACTCTTGTTTTAGATAAGGTCTTACTTATTCGAGAGTTCCTTTGACAGATTTCTCTTTGTTTAGTCACTTAGGATTTTATCACGAAAGAATACCCATTCAGCTTTTCTGTAGAATTTAAAAAAGAAATTAAATCGTCTATAAATTAGTGCCTTAGGGGTGACTGAGCAGGGAGCCGAACAAAATAAATTATTTTTTCCTGTGAGAAAAAATTGCGCAACTTTCCGCCCCTTTGTGTACCTAAACAGCCTATAGCTAAAAGTTATTATGAAAAACAATAAGAAATTATGTTGAATTGTAATCAAAAATTAAACGAGACTTACCTTAAGTCGATGTTTGATTGGGATTCTGCCGAGTCCTCAGTAGCACAAGAAGTCACGTGAGAAAGCACCAGCCGCTCAAGTGGTCAGTCTTTAAAGCCTTGAGTGTGCTAATCAGTTGAGTAGTAGCATAAGAAGTGTGGGTGGGTATAAATACCTCTACAGGGTATGAGCGTGACTTCTTGTGCTACTGATGCCTCGACAGAATCCCAATCAAACATCGACTTAAGGTAAGTCTCGTTTAATTTTTGATTACAATTCAACATAATTTCTTATTGTTTTTCATAATAACTTTTAGCTATAGGCTGTTTAGGTACACAAAGGGGCGGAAAGTTGCGCAATTTTTTCTCACAGGAAAAAATAATTTATTTTGTTCGGCTCCCTGCTCAGTCACCCCTAAGGCACTAATTTATAGACGATTTAATTTCTTTTTTAAATTCTACAGAAAAGCTGAATGGGTATTCTTTCGTGATAAAATCCTAAGTGACTAAACAAAGAGAAATCTGTCAAAGGAACTCTCGAATAAGTAAGACCTTATCTAAAACAAGAGTTATTTTACTATATATTGCTTCTTGCTCCTAGACAAAAGGGTAAAGATATCAAGGTTTCCAAAAGCATCAAACCACACGGGATCCGTTGGAACTGATGGAGGGAGGGTGGGGGGTAGGTTTTGGTTTATTCAATAATAATCTGTGCTGAATTGATAAAATATTGATAATCCTGAAGGATTTTTTTTATACATCTTTTAACTCCCAAGATTGACTTTACCACAGGAAATATCACTCTACTCAAACACATCATTCCTTTTCACCGGAACGTGATCCGTCTCATATGTCGCATGACCCCATATGCCCCAGCTGGAAACTGGAATTATTAAATATGATAAAAAGGGGGGACAAACTAAAATAGATTCGCAGTCACTCCATCTCCAGAATGAAATTTCACGAAGATATCTAAAACAAAACTCCAGAACAGTAGACTTGGTTTCATTTCATTAATTGCAATCAACAGGAAAACTCCAATATCGACGAAGGAGCAAATGTCAATCACTCTGTAGTGCAGGACAAAGAAGTGAGCTTATCAAACAAATATTTGGATGACACCCCACACGATCATAGTTTGCAAAAAACGAAGTAGCATAAGAAATCTTATCTTTTGAATGTTGACGTTCTCAGCGGAGATATTTTAGCTTGTACCTTCCTTTTTACTATCAAGACTGTGATTCGTGAACCGATTCAGTCTGACATGGTGTGAACCTTGTAATGATGTATGTGCAAAAATTTCAGCTTGCTCATTGACCGAGAAAACTTCAATTAATCCCAAGCAGTGCATAAAGTTGAAATTCGGAGTGCAAATATTTGAAGTTGACTGCAGAAAGTTGAAATTAACTTGATTGACAGAGAGTCACGAGAGTGAGGAGA